GTTTTACCCTTTAATTTTAAGTAATCCAGGATGCTTTAAGACAGACTAGATTCACCTGGTACAGTGGTACCTCGGGTTAAGAACTTAATTCGTTCTGGAGGTCCGTTCTTAACCTGAAACTGTTCTTAACCTGAGGTACCACTTTAGCTAATGGGGCCTCCTGCTGCTGCCGCCACCGCACAATTTCTGTTCTCATCCTGCGGTAAAGTTCTTAACCCGAGGTACTATTTCTGGGTTAGCAGAGTCTGTAACCTGAAGCATCTGTAATCCAAGATACCACTGTATTTCTCCCTTTTCTCCCTCCCCCTTAAACAGTAATCACACAAGCAGCCTTGCAAAAGGTAAACATAATGTTTACTCACTCAGAATACTTGTTGAAGAGTACCAGCTACAGCAGCTTTGTCCAGGCAGTTTAAAATGGTAATTCAGTTACAAAGACATACTTTAATCTAATTTAAAATGGTGTCTGAGCACTGGAGCTTCATATTTCTGGCTTGATGGAAAATCGCAAAAAAGAGGATGTGCCCAGGCAGGTAAGATTATCCATATCTATATCCTGTATATATCTACACTCTCCCCATGGCAGTGGGAGTGTCTCTCACAGAGTTCTCTAGTAAGTTTACAGGAAAACTGCTTGAGCTTCAGCTCCTGTTGTGTGCCTATCTAGCAAAACATGAATTGTTGGTTCGGTTGAATTTTTAATATCCCACATGCAAGAGGAGAACCTCAGTAGTCAGTATCGTTTCCAACTACATCATCATCATCATCATCATTTTTAATTTGTATACCGTCTTTCTATCTTACAATACTCAAGGCGGTTTACAAGCTGAAGAAACAAAAAACCTACATCTTATAACAATCTAATGCAATACAAAAAATGTGATGGTAATAAAACATAACTTTTAAATAGGCAACCTACATCAAAAAGTAACTTTCAACAATCATTATAATAATAAATATATTATATTATAATAAAATAATAATATCAACATATAAAAGTTAAACAGAAATCCACTCAACAGTTACAATAAATAATATCTGAACTATAATCAATAAAACAACGGCAAGCCGCAGTACATAAAACAATACAATACACACTGAGAAGCAGAGGGTAGAGCAAGGCAGGTGGAAGGAGGCCTTGCCTGATGGAGTCTCTCCCCTCACAGTTCTTCCTTCAGGAACAGCTCCCTTGTGAGGACTCCCAGGGCCGGAGGGTGGGGCAAGGCAGGTGGAAAGAGGCCTTGGCACAAGAAGGTGCTGGCCCTTCTCTGTGAACTCCAAACACTCCACTTCTAAACCTTCAGCCAAACAGGAGACCACCCCGTTAACCTATGGAACTCATTGCCCCAGGAGGCAGTGATGGCCACCAAGTTGGGTGGCTTGAAAAGAGGACTGGGCAAATTCAAGGAGGAAAGGGCTAGCAATAGCTACTAGTCAAGATGGCTATGATCTGCCTGTGCCTCAGAGGCAGCAAGGCTTCTGATTACCATGCTGGAAACCACAGGCGAGGAGAGCGCTCTTGTGCATGGGTCCTGCTTGCAGGTTTCCTACAGGCACCCAGGTGACCACTTTGAGAAGAGGATCTGGATTAGATGGGCCTGATCCAGTAGGCTCTTCTTATGTTCTCATGCAACTCCCTAAGCTGCACTGGAGCCAGTATTTGAAGAATCCAGCACGGCCCCTTTAGGTCCAGATAGCTTACCCAGAGCGGTCAGAGGCAGAAACACAAGCCTGCATACAGCCCTGTTTAAACTCTGAGCAAGCTACAAACACCTGCTGAAATGGCGTTCTAGTCTGCTGCTCTCTGGTGCCTGTGTCTAGTTCTGTGCTAACAATTTCTCTTGCTTTTTTTTTAGCTAATCTCCATCAATTTGTTTGTTTGTTTGTTTGTTTGTTTGTTTGTTTGTTTCCCACTTTCCCCCCAAACCAGGACTCATGGTATCTTGCACAAATTAAAAGCACACAGATAAAATGCAAAAAAAGCTAAACACATATAAAATATAATAAGTAATAAACAATTAAACTGTAATAGAATTTTTAAACACACACACACACACACACACACACACACACACAGAAATACAGACAATGAAAGCAGCACATTACTATTGAAAGCCATTTCCATAAAACAATCCATTCCCCAAAAGCCTATCAGAATAAAACAGCCTTAACCTGCTGGTGGAAGAGCAACAAGGTGGGAGCCAGTTTTGCTTCTCTAGAAGGGGAGTTCCAGAGTCTGGGAGCTGCCATGAAGAAGAGAAATATTATCAAAGAGGGAGGAACATTTCAGGAAATTGGAGAACATGCTTTGGTGCAGAACTAACCTAATCAGTAGTTGGAAATTCTTCCAGCACTACCAAGCACTGTCCATGGTTCTGTTTCCGTGTCTTTTCTCTGCTGCCTTCCCTTTTTAACCCACAGTCACAACATATTAAAATGACATCTGAAAGGGGTGCTAGAGGTGGGGAATCAAGTGAGGCACATGCAGGTATAAACTGGGCCTGGGTGAGCAGTAAGGGATGTCTGAAAGACACGCACTGGAATGCTGGGTCTGTGGAGACCCAGGTTCAAATCCCCAGTAAGCCACGAACCTAGCAATCCTGCCAACCTAGCAGTTCGAAAGCACATCCAAGTGCAAGTAGATAAATAGGTACCACTCCAGCGGGAAGGTAAATGGTGTTTCCGTGCGCTGTGTGGACAGCTTAGTCATGCTGGCCACATGACCTGGAAGCTGTATGCCCGCTCCCTTGGCCAATAAAGCGAGATGAGCACCGCAACCCCAGAGTTGTCCGCGACTGGACCTAACGGTCAGGGGTCCCTTTACCTTTAAGCCACAAAACGCAGTGGGTAAACTTGGTTCAGCCACAGGGTTGTTGTGAGGATAAAACAAGAGAGGACTGTGTGTGCTGCACTGAGTTCATTGGAGAAAAGGCAGGATAGAAAATGTAGCTGATAAATAAATACACAAAAGTTGTTTGAGAAACAAAAACGAAACTTAGAACTGGGTGAGGGCAGTTCTTAGCCTCAGGGTAGAGAACCTGAGGCCTGCTTGCAAACTCTGGCCCTCCAAACCTCTCTATCTGTCCAGAGGGCCACTTCCCAGTGGTGACTGGCGTCAGAGTGGGTGGAATAACTAATGTAAATGTTACCTTTGTACAGTAGACTGGTTTCTCCCCACATTCAGACCCTCCTCCATCCAGGAAAGGAAGAGGCATTCTGCGAGTTTGAGGCTGCAAGGAGGGTGTGAAGCAAACACCCCACTGACGGGTGGGACCTGGGGAGAGGGGGAGCGGTGTGGGGAGAGTTCTGAGGGCCAGATACAGTGGCTGGAAGGGCCATGCGTGGCCTCCTGGCCTTAGGCTTCCCAACTACGCATAAGGAAAATAACACAGGGAAAAGTACTGAGGCGTTCTGCCTGCTGTGCCATACTTTTGCTCCAGATTGCATCCTCCTCTCATGACAGCTGTAAAAAAATTAAATTAAATTAAAGCACCTCCATTGTCACATCTAGTTCAGCCTTTAGCTGCTCTGCTACACCATTGAGGGATAGCTTAATTGGTAGAGAAGGCCGTGAGTTCAAGCCCCACGTTGGGCGAAAGATTGCAGAGGGTTGGAAGACATGATCCTTGTGGTCCATTCCAAGTCTATAATTTTATACATATCGTATTTTTTGCTCTATAAGGCTCACTTTTTCCCTCCTAAAAAGTAAGGGGAAATGTGTGTGCATCTTATGGAGCGAATGCAGGCTGCGCAGCTATCCCAGAAGCCAGAACAGCAAGAGGGATTGCTGCTTTCGCTGCACAGCGATCCCTCTTGCTGCTCTGGCTTCTGGGATTCAAAATATTTTTTTTCTTGTTTTCCTCCTCCAAAAACTAGGTGCGTCTTATGGTCTGGTGCATCTTATAGAGCGAAAAATACAGTATCTCCAGAAGCACTCCAACCCTATAGCAGCACAGGCCAGCAGAGCGCATTGCCCTCTGTGAAGCCCTCAGCATTCAAGTGTGCCCTGGTTGATGCCACAGATGCTGCCCAATACCTACCTGCAAAGCTCACGCTGTCCAAATCCACACGGCCCTTAAAACAGCAAGAGTCGCCTTAAGTGGAATGAAAGAAGGATTTCCTCAGCAGCCAAATATTGAGACTTGAAAGCCAGGGTGGGGGCGCGGGGGATGTAACATCGCTGCCACAGAAGCACTTTATATTGAAGAGCCGTCTGGGTTCCCACAACAAAAGGAGTCACAATTGTGCCTGGAATGGTCTGTAAACTGATGTTCTTGACAGAGCCTCTCTTCTATAGGAGCTTACTGGCAATCTGAAGCGGTCAGTCAGTCAAGGGTCAATTGTGCCATTTTGAAAATTGCTCCTGGCTCCTTTCATGATGAAAGAGGTTTGCAGCGGCTCTGTCTCCACAGAGCACCCCTTTTGCCAGCATTCTGCTCCTGAAGTGATTCTCACCCCCCACCCCCACCCCTGGTTTCACCTGCCTCTACAGTAATGCAATAATTCTAACAGATTTCTCTTCTGTGTTCCTTGTATCAGATAGAGAGCCTGCACATAGGACTAGGAAAGCTTTCAGCTTTGCCTGCCAGGCATCTCTCTCTCTCTCTCTCTCTCACACACACACACACACACACACACTCCTTAGTAACCCAGTAGCAGAAGAGGCAACTAACAGCTTCCTATTCCTCCAGGGGAAACCCCTTCAAAAGACAGCCTCTCATCCGTGCATTTCTTCAAGGTGAAGACTCTTTCATGTAAGAAATGACATATACACTCGCCTGCCTTTAAGAAGTCAGGAGGCATTATTTAGCTGGAGCCTGACAGGGAGCCGAGATTATAGCTCAGTTATAAATTACACATGCAATAATTGTATATGGCTGTGTAATGCAACACCTATGTTTCATTTCCTGAACATTGCACATAGGTTAAAAGGCAGGACAGGCCTTGCATAATCTAACAGGCACTGTGCAAAAGGAAAAAAGAACAGGGAGGAAAGCAGAAGGGGCTTAGCTCAGTGGCAGAGCGACTGCTTGGCATTCAGAACATCCTGGGTTCAATCCCCAAGGTCTCCAGGGAATGTCGGCTGCCTGAAACCTTGGAGAGCCACTGCCAATCCATGTAGACATTATGGAACTAAGTGGGCCAAGGGTAGGATTCAGTATAAGGCAGGTTCCTATGTTTCCAATACTTTGGCCACATCATGAGAAGAGAAGACTCCCTGGAAAAGACCCTGGTGTTGGGAAAGATGGAGGGCACAAGGAGAAGGGGACGACAGAGGACGAGATGGTTGGACAGTGTTCTCGAAGCTACTAACATGAGTTTAACCAAACTTGGGAGGCAGTGGAAGACAGGAGTGCCTGGCGTGCTCTGGTCCATGTGGTCACGAAGAGTCGGACATGACTAAACGACTAAACAACAACAACATGTTTCCTAGAAAGGTGCACCTTCACAAGCCAATGGATAGGGCATAGTTGTAGGTCTGGTAAAGAGCAATAAAAATGATTGATGGGATGGTGCGACTCCCCTGTTGGGAAAGGATGCAATATTTCAGACTTTCAAGTTTAGGGAAAAGGTGAGAATGGGGAGAGATGATCGTTTGAAACAATGCACGGCATGGAGAACAGTTGTTCTCCCTCTCTCATGACACTAGAACTCAATGAAGCTGAATGTTGGAAGATTCAGAACAAATGAAAGAAAGTGCTTCTTCAAACGCTGCATACAGTGGTACCTTGGGTTAAGAACTTAATTCATTCCGGAGGTCTGTTCTTAACCTGAAACTGTTCTTAACCTAATGAGGTCTACTGCTGCCGCTGCATGGCTGCCATGCGATTTCTGTTCTCATCCTGAAGCAAAGTTCTTAACCCGAGGTACTATTTCTGGGTTAGCAGAGTCTGTAACCTGAAGAAGAAGAAGAAGAGGAGTTTGGATTTGATATCCCGCTTTATCACTACCTGAAGGAGTCTCAAAGCAGCTAACATTCTCCTTTCCCTTCCTCCCCCACAACAAACACTCTGTGAGGTGAGTGGGGCTGAGAGACTTCAGAGAAGTGTGACTGGCCCAAGGTCACCCAGCTGCTGCATGTGGAGGAGCGGGGAAGCGAACCCGGTTCACCAGATTACGAGTCTACCGTTCTTAACCAGTACACCACACTGGCTCTCACTGAAGCGTCTGTAACTCAAGGTATCACTGTAGTTACTATGGAACTTATTCCCACAGGGGGTAGTGATGGCCACCAACTTGGATGGCTTTAAAAGAGGATTAGACAAATTCATGGAGAAGAGGACTAACAATGGCTGCTAGCCGGGATGGGTGTGTTTTCCCTGCATGGTTGGAGGCAGAAAGACTTCTGAATACTTGTTGCTGGAAATCACAGGAGGAAAGAGTGCTCTTGTGTTTAGGTCCTGCTTGCAGGTTTCCCGCAAGCCACTGGTTGGCCACTGGGAGTATGGGATGCTGGACTCAATGGCCCATTAGCCTGTTTCCAGCAGGCTCTCCTTATGTTTTTTTTATGTTTGTAAAGCTTTGAATGACAGCAGGTGTAGCACATGAGAAAGCACGCTCTGTTTCAACTGTGGAGTCACAGCTGGATTTTGAGCACAGAGGCCTAGTGTCAGACGCTGGGTGGTGGTTGCTCATGAGTAACCAGGCAGGACTCCAACCTGTCTTTTACAGGTTTTATTTGTGCAAACTATTTATAGTGCAGATACACATGTACACACATAGTTCAGATACAGATATAGTGCAGATACACATATAGTCACGTCCGTCTTAGTCACTTGCAGAATCTGGGAGTGGCCCCTTCCGGCTTCTCCCCCAACATAAGAACTTAGACACCCCAAATCTCCACCTCCCCTCCTTGCATTTCACCCCTCTGCGCAAGCTGGGCAACGGAAGTGGCATGTGTGCCTCCTGGCCAGCTGGGCTAGGTGAGGCGCTTGGGCTCTCAGCAGCATCTTTGAGCCCTCTCCTCGCTTGGCTGGCTCCTTCCCTCTCTTCTCCACTGGAGGTGTGGCTTTCCCCACTGCTGGACGAGGAGCTGCTCCTCAGAAGCTTCAGAGGCTCTCTGTATCCCCCTGCCTCCCTCCCCTGTTCCGATGGCAGTCCCCTGACACCTAGGTTCAAATCCCCCCCTTGGACATGAAGCTCATGATCTTCCGGTTCAGGGTTAGCTCAAGTCATTTTGCTGCCTCGGGCATAACAGCAAATAGTGACCTCTCCCCCTTAAAAAAAAGAAGAAGAAAAGTCAAGGTGTGCTGGACTCCAGACCAGCCAAGTTAAGTTGGGGCATGAGAAAGGAAACAAAGGGCCTCCCCAGCCTTGAAAATGCAGCAATCATAAATAAAATAACTAGTAATTTGCTATGCTTTCATGACACCCAAAATCAGCTACCTCAGGCTGCCACCCCCTTCTGCCTAATGACCCACTTCACTAGATTTCTGAGTGCATAACAGGAGGATGTGTGCGAAATGTTTGCACTACTCAGAGTCGCTTGCAGGAACGGCGGGATACACCTGTAATGAACAGTCATAAGCACTACGGCCTCTATATTTACTTCTATATAATTCTCAGCAACAACTCATTCCACTTGTTTTGTGGGGGCAGAAAAATATTCCCTCTCTCTAAATATAGAGCATATATTTATTTTGTAATAGATATTGAAAATGTGAGGAAGCAGGTTCAGTGTCAAAGCACGTGTCCATAAGGACTTGGGAAGCGAGTTTAAACTAAGTCAAACCATCAAACTCCATATTGTCTAGAAGAAGAAGAGCTTGGATTTGATATCTCGCTTTATCACTACCCTAAGGAGTCTCAAAGCAGCCAACATTCTCCTTTCCCTTCCTCCCCCACAACAAACACTCTGTGAGGTAAGTGAGGCTGATAGACTTCAAAGAAGTGTGACTAGCCCAAGGTCACCCAGCAGCTGCATGTGGAGGAGCGGGGAAGCGAACCCAGTTCACCAGATTACGAGTCCACCACTCTTAACCACTACACCACAACTGCTAGGCATCTGCTCTCCAGGGTTTCAGCAGGGGACATTCCCAGCTCCACCACTAATCTACAACCCTTCCTCTGAGAGTTCGCTGGGGAAAGAGACTGGTTGTTAAACCAGTCTGGGAACTGTAGCTCTTTGGGGGGAACAAGGGTTTCCCAACAACTCCCAGCATCCTTAACAACTTGCAGTTCCCAGAATTCCTTGGGGGAAGCCATGACTGTTTAAAGTGCTATGGTACAGCTTTAAATAGATAGTGCTCAAGGCATCCCCACTGTCTTATGAGAGGCCAGTAATGAGGATTTCCTTCTGGTGGTGCCCTTGATGTTGAACAGCTTCTCCAGGGACATTAGACTGCCCCATCTCATCTTACCTTCAGGTGCCTTGAAAAACCACCTTGTTCTAAATATCAATTGGATGATTACCTGGCTTTGCTGAGCTCAAACAGAACGTGGAAATGAACGGTTAGGGAAGCGTCGAGGAAATGGAATAAACTGCCTTGTGAATGCAGCCACATTGACCCTCCCTGTCAGTCTTCCCTGTGACTGAGTAGAGATTCAAACCTGGTGCTCTCTGACGCTGCAGTCACCACCACAACACACTTCTGTTCTTTGTTCTTTATCCCTGTTTTGTTTTGTTTTCCTATTGTACTTTTGAGGGTTTGTTTCATTACTGCTATTTGAGCGTGTGGTTGCTTTTCTTAGCTGGCTTTACATTAGCTAATGTTTTCCATTTGTTGGTCGCTGCCTTGTGCACACTTAAAGTTGAAGGGCAGGAGATTTTTTTTTAAAAAATCAACCAATTACCAAAAGAGAAAGGAACATGTGCCTTTCATAGACAATATGAATGGCATTTGACAATTTCAGGTTATTAACTGAACTGAAGGGGGCAAGCTGCATTTTAGTAGGTGGGGTCGCCTGTCTTTCTTCTCCCTTTAATTTACCTTAATTGCTTTGGAATAGAATTCATTCTCTCTCTGTTGCTTTAGAGGAAGAGAAAAATGCTAGAGACCCCAAGGAGAAATGTTGGCAGTGGGATTTTGTGGTTACAGGATTGCAGCTGGTGCGTTTCTAATTCAGCAATGTCCTCGGCATGTTAATGGGTCGGCATGGAACAAGCCCCTGGCTAGGAAATTCGCAGTTGGCAGCCTTGTCTGAAGGTTGCAAGTGCTCTGGCTTTCTCCCTCTGGAAAGGATAAACAGCCCAACTGGGCAGGCTGTGCTGTTAGAGGGCATGTCCATTAGCCTTAAGACTACTGCTTTATTAATCAGTGCAGTCACCTAATATTTACGCCATTTATTTATATATATATTTATGGCATTTTACATCAACACTGGCTGCTCTGGCAACCTCATAAGAGGGGGAAATACCTCCATTTCCAACGAAGGTGGTGTCTTTTGAAAACACTTACAGTGGATGCTCAGGTTGCGAACGTGATCCGTGCGGGATGCACGTTCACAACCCGCAGCCTTCGCAACCCGCGTCTGCACACGTGCGGGTTGCGATTTGGTGCTTCTGCGCATGCGCGACCACCGAAACGCGGAAGTAACCCATTCCGGTACTTCCAGGTTTAAGCGGTCCATAACCCGAAGAAACACAACCTGAAGCGACTGTAACCCGAGGTATGACTATATTTCGCAGTTCTGACATGCACAAGGTGCAGAATGTAGCATCCGGAAAAGATTCTGGAGAATCTTGAGAGTGATATCGCACGTGACATTTGCACCTATCTCCCATATGTAAACAACAGAAATGCAGGGTTGTCGTTCCTTTAAAATCACTTCCAATTCGTGGATGGAATTTGCGCTGTAGGATGTGGCAGTGACCAATACCTGCCATTCACCTTTCAGGCAGAAAATAGAAGGATCCCCCACGGGGCTAGGGCAAAAGCAGGGAAATGGTTTCATCTACAGGGCCACATTATCTTCTTTGCAACTTTCCAAGGGCCACATGCCAGGAGAGGGTGGGGCCAGAGACCTAAGTGGCTAGAGCAACAAATATAAATTTTACCTTTGTGCAGTAGGCCGGTTTCAAGATACGCTTCTGTATCCTTGGGGTGAGAAGCAAGGCTAGTGAGGGGGT